TGTGTGTGTGTGTGTGTGTGTGTGTGTGTGTGTGTGTGTGTGTGTGTATGTATTTATATAAAAATTAAACAAACAAACAAACCAACAAAAAAATGAATTAAATTTAAAATTAAAAATAAAAGTAAAAGAAGTCAGAACTCAAAGTTTCAAAGTTAAAATAGAATAAATAATTTAAAAAAAGAAAATGAATTTTATTTCATTCGTTTATTGCAATTTGTCTTTGAAGATATGTGCGCAACGCAATTCACAGTCTACAGGTCTACACCCGAGTATATAAGAAGAACTCAATAATTAAATTAAATTCATCAAGAAATTGCATTTTAATTGCATTTACCATTAATGCAATGAACAGTTAGATTGATTGAGTTGCGTTACTCTTTATAAATGTGATAATAAATGTTTTTTCTTTGATTTTTATAATTTATTCTTAACTCTTTTTCTTTTTTTTTTTTTTTCGTATGCTTACACAACAAACGTCTATAAAACATTAATTAAATAATAATAAATTAATTAACTTAAAAATATTGAATAAATATTCCTATAAATTATTAAAAAAAACAAAAAAAAAAAAACCAAATGAAACCTACAACTAATATAAAATTATTGTTTATTGTAAACTGTAAACTGTTCTTGTGTCTCTTGTGTCTACATTTTAATGTAGTTTTGTCAACATGCACCGGGACACCATGTAAGTTGCCATTATGCTGCGGTAGTGTTTCTTTTCGAAATGGATGAATCAATGAATGAATCAATTAATGAATCAATGAATGAATGAATGAATGAATGAATGACTAAATAAATAAATAATTTCTTTTTAACAGCATTATCTCTATTCGTTATTTTCTCCTTATAAATGTTGCAGTCGTTGACTTATTTTTTATTTGAAAGCAACTTTATTTTCTTAATGTATTTAGATTTACGCAAATTTGAAACTTTGAATTTTCTTCCTTCCTCCTATTAAACCATAGCAGTCAATACGTTAGTGTTAACACATTGACGGACATAAATGCTCTCATAGCATTGCAATTTCAAAGACAATTATTTTTCCTTTAATTTTATACAAATTCATACATAGTGCTGTTCCGAAAGTAACTACGGCTTCATTCAAAGTTCACCTTCATGCGAATTAGGTATTGAAGAAATAGAAAAGAAAAGGCGGGCCACAGCCAGCCATTAAGTACCTTAAACTATTTCGCTTAACACAATTATTCGTATAACGACTTTTGAAAGTAAGGCATCATATGAGAAGTTGTCGAACCAGTGGTCCGGCCCGAGCCATTTTAAATAGCGTTCGCGCTTGGGACAAGATACATCGGGGTACACCATTAAAATTCCGTTAAAATATCTCAAAAATTGCGATCTGCAAGTTACAAGGCGGACGTACGGACAGCCCAGCTTATTATAAGAGACGGAACTTTCTCAAGTCCTTCAAAATTGAATACCTACCACCTACCACAAGTAATACACGGTGTAAAACCGGCATTATAAAGATTTTCTTTCAAATCTTATCTTTTTACCTTATCTCGCAAATTGTTTTTTCGAAGGTAAACCCACTTCTGATTGGCATTGTTTGCAAAATACAAAAAGGACATCTTACAGGAGTGAATTATTTTCAAGCAATTTTCAATGACTTCTTTGCGCATAACGAGCAATAGCTCGGCCATAACTTGACGGATATCTGTAAAGAGTTTGAGGATTGTTCGATCCCGCAAAAAACAAAGCCAGCGGAGAGAAATCGCATAAACGCACGGTCGTCAATTGATATCGACAAAACGTGAAATTACCCGTGGAATGTATCCCACGTAACAATGCCAAAACTGGAAACAACAACAAATGCGTCCAACGTTCGTTGAGCGAACCTCATCGTAAATTTGCAAACATTATATTAAGCATATGATGCCTTCGATGAAAATTCAAATGTACATAAGTTACTGGAGAAGAACTACTAAACCCTGACTACGAAATAGATGACGCTCTATAAATTTAACATATTACTAATAGTTAGTTGAAAAAGTGTGTAGGTATCGTCGTGGATGTTACTGGCATATACAAACAATTATACTATGGCTATAGTTACAAAATATTTTTAATCAAATTACGAATATCTTGACGGATTCATGAATTTTAACTTCAACTTTATTAAGGTCCAAAAGAAACAATTCGTGGTGGCATAGAACTCTTTTTTAAACGACTCAGTAAATCATCTGCTGTTGATTTGCTGAAATTTGTACTGTCCGCTAATGGGTTTATTTAAGTTTTTTTAAAATATTATTATTATTATTATTATTATTAATTTCGCCAGAGAAATAAATTCTAAGACTATACTCTTAAAAGCACCTAAGGCTATCGGCTTTTATTAAAAACTCTACCGCACTTGAGATTCGAACCCACGACCATTGACTTGCTAGCCGGGATTCCTCCCCTTCGGCTACTCAGGCGGATCTTTTTTTTTTTTTTAAATAGATTAAGATCGTTGTTCCTTTTGCTACATCGAAAAGATTATATTAGCAACTTACTCAGAATATGCTCCGTAAGGATATGGTTCCGCGCTTCATTTCGGAATCACACTGAGCATCCGTGATCGTACTCTGAACATCGCAAGAACAGAGTTAGAAATATCTAAAAGCAGAAACTAACTTCTAGCTAGCGTCAATATCCTAAATATCATTCAGTTCTGGAAATTTCCATCTCCAGGACGCAGTATACGATCTTTTGCAGAAGAAATGCATAACAATCTGATAAAAACCTCGAAACATCCACGTATGCTATCTTGCTTTACGAACACACAAACACGTCGGAAACGTCTTGCCGAGAGGCAGCAAGAATTAGTGCAAATATTCTTATCTCCTAAAAAGATCATCTGCGTTTTCCGTTTCCTTATTGTTTCTCTATCTCTTTTTCTGGCGATTTCTGGAAAGCGATACAATGCTCGAAATTGTCGATAATAATTAGGAATTACTTTCATTTCTTATTCAAATTTTTGAAAATGGCATATAGAAGCACTCTTGCATGGTGTGTAACTTCTGCAACTAGCTATCCATGCTGCTTAGAAAAAGGTCTAAAAAAAAGTAGTTTCTAACCGTTTTAACTGAATGAAACGCTTGTAATGATATGAGCATGCATGTGCTATGTTTTCATTTCAATATGTAAATACATTTTGCTTGATTCTCTATAGACTGCATGTAAAGTACGTTTTGAATGTTATTGTTATTAGTCATTAGTTTCACATTCACGAAAGACATGAAAGTATAAAACAAAGGCGTTTAAAATAATGTTACGATGTTTATGTTCAATCTTTTTTAAATGAATCGCTAAAATTTGAATCTAAAGGAATCAAAAGAGGCATGCAAGGTAATATATATTTTTTCAAAAATTTTCATGAGAAGATTTTTTAAGCAAATTTATACTTTGGCGCACCTGTTCTATCCATTTTAGTCATTTGAAAAAGTTCTTGTGCAAAATATTCAGTTTGGTTTGTCGCCGCCATTGACCAAGGCATTGGGGGCCATACCCAGATGGCGTTTATTGCAAGCGGCTCTCCCACATGTTATGCATTGCGTAGCAGCTTTATTACATAATCGTGTCAAAGATATGCAAGCTATCGGAGCTGTAGAAACGAAACTGTTATATACAATGCAATGGATTTTATTGTACGCTGCTGAAGAATGCGTTGATGATGAAGTGGGCTCCACCGACGAGATACTCTCCGACGGTGGTGAGAATAAGACAAAGTCCATTGAGCAGTACTTATTTTCAATACCCACAATAACGGTAAAATCGTTTGGAGAAATCTTAATCCCAAAGAAAATATTTACTTGTGGCTTCATTGCTTTCCAGCTATTCGTTTATCTATTTGCTCCGATTATCCACCATTTGAAAGAATCGGATTTTCAGAATTTCCGCTTAGAGAACGGCATAAAATTATGGCAAGGTATGTGGGATAATCGTGCGCCCGGCGCACCGTGTTTTACAGCTCCGGTTAAGCCAAAAGCCAGAAATCTTTTATGTGCTCCTACACCCAAAGGATCAACTGATATTTATTCAGGCCGTAAGAGTAAAGTGTTGTTTGAAATCATGTTCAAAATGTCTCATTATCTATTTGTCTTAATCCCTGCGCCCATTAAGGCAAACATTCTTTAGACGCTGATGCTATGTCACCCGGTTCACCTCAAAGTGGTGGTTCAGAGCAAACAATCCGTCAGGACGAAGAAGTATTGAACTAAGTTGCAAGATTAATTTATCAGTTGATCTAAAAACGAAAAGTATTTTTCCAGAGCTCATGGATTTCATCACCTAAGGAGTTCGCGTTCCCTGAAACCATACCAGAAGAAGCGTCGAGCGTTGAAGATGAACGAGTTGTAATTTTCCGTTTGCCCTCGGCTTCCCATTTAATGGATAACTCATTTTTTACGGTAGATTAATTCAATAATTATTTTTTTAAAGTTACATTTCTAAATGAGATAAATTTATTTACTAAATGCAGGCGGATGCTAGTCTATTGCAGCAACAACAACCACAAAGTCGTCGCGGTAGTCGGCAGTCAGTGCATTCCCGTGATAAAGACAAACCGGCAACGAAATTTGAATTCGAGCAACAGGAGTTGATGCGTGGAGCTTCCCTTAAAGAGAAAAGAAGTGCTTCTATGGACAAAGAAAGCGATTCAAACGGATCGTCTAGTTATAAGGCTGATATATCAGCAGCCACTTTCTTAGATGTGGCCGTGATGCGATGTCTTTTCATTTCGCATTGGCAAGAGGAGGGAATTTTCTGGAGTCTCCAATACTTATACAATCGGTAAAAAAAATTTATTTAGTTTTCTTTTAACTCGAAGATGCCCAATGTGATCACCCATTGTCTGTTTCTTTAAGATTAAGTGAAATAGGTGAGGAAGCTGCTATAACAATAAATCAGCCACGAAAGCGTTCCAATTCGTTACCAATACCCCAGATTGAAATCTCATTATATCAGGGGCCTGGCAGCAATAATCGCGATAGTCCTGGCAGTTCTATTACTAAGAATTTTATTGAAATACCTGAAGCTCCAACAACAATTGGTACCACGGGTAAGACTTTTGAGAGAACTTTGAAAAGAAAACCAAACTGGAACGTCAACTGAGCTGAAATAATTTGCGTTGTATTTTCTAGATGAAGGGAGTCCGACTGCAGAGCGTCGCGGTAGCGAGAAAAAGAAACGCGTTAAAATGTCGGATTTGCGAGCGTTTGTCGAGACAAAAATGTTCTCCAAATCGGAAAAGAATTTGGAAAAAATAGGCCTAGATACAGGTTCCGCCAATGGCAAGATATCACTGCAGCATGCAGTAAGATTACTATGTTAAAGCACTTTTATATCTTTCCGTTTATTTTTTTTTATACCCTACATCAATTGTGGCACAATGGCATATTAAATTTGTGCGAAGGTATGCAACACCCAGGAGACGATCCTTTTATCATCCCTGCCGATTCACAATCACTTTCTGCATTGACGAAAGCTTGTCCGTCCGTCAGTCTTGTTTTTTGAAATTTGTTTGCGAAAGTATATTCTTCAGTTTGCATATACACCCGCGAGTAACTTTCATTGAATTAATTTTTATTATACTATATACTATATATATTAACTCAGACATATTGTAAACTCATCCTACTAAGTTGTCTGAAATTAGTGTGAAATTTTCCAGCAAGATCAGGTAGAGTTACCACTATATAGAATTAACAACAAAATGGTATGTGACCTCGTGTATAGCTCACGTTTATGCCATTCAGATTATTTCGATTTTTCGATATAAGGGGTTCCGTGGGAAATGATTGAACAAGTTATCCAGCCCGAACCATCCTTGGAACAAGATACGTCAGATACGCCAAATTTCATCAAAATAGCTCAACGACCTGTAGGTTGAACTCGTGCTCTTAGAGTAACAGGAAGATCTTCCTCAAATTCTTCTGTGCACTGCATAAATCCGCACAATCTTAAAATATCCTGGTACAACAAGTAGTGTAGCGTCATAAAAATTTTCTTCTCAATCTTATCTTTTTATCTTGCACAATTGTTTTTTCCCTCAAAAAGGAATATCATCGCAGTTTGGACACTGGTGAAAAGAAATTGTCACGTTCAGCTTCCATGATATCACGTGAACCCGCTAGTAATCTTATCAAAGGCAAATCAATGCCCAGTTTAAGGTAAGTATTTTAATATTGCGTGTGAAGAGTTTGAAGAAGAAGATTTACAACAACAGATGAACAAAAGACATTCATTACCCTTCAAATTGAATTTAAAGATTTTTATGAAACTTTTATATTAATAAATTTAACAAGAAATTAATTTTCCTCTGCACTCCTCCACTATCTAATAA